ACATCTCTCTCTCTCTCTCTCTCTCTCTCTCTCTCTCTCTCTCTCTCTCTCTCTCTCTCTCTCTCTCTCTCTCTTTCCCTCTCTCTCTCTCTCTCTCTCTCTCTCTCTCTCTCCCTCTCTCTCTCTCTCTCTCTCTCCCTCTCTCTCTCTCTCTCTCCCCCTCTCTCTCTCTTGCTCTCTCCTCTTTATGATAAACAGTAGACATGTTTATAACCACACACAAACAACCAGTAAACAAGGCCTAGACTTCCAGCTGGTCATAAAATAATGATTACACAAGAGTTGGCTTTCAATGGTTGCTGTGTGTGCAGTATCATATTTGATTAGTCTGGCATAATATGGGATCCCATACAAGGGACATACTTTCAGTACAGCTGGAGTGTGTTTTGCATGAATATGACATGTGCTCAATATATGAGTCACATGTACACAACACCTAGTAGGCATATGATGTGTCTAAATATAGAATTCATTAGATTGTTCTAAAAATAGGCACACACTCAACATAAACAACAGACACACTCCCATGTCCACTAACAAATGACCTTCTCTTCCCCTCTCTCTTTCTCCCTCTCTCCCTCCCTCCCCCTCTCTCTCCCTCCCTTACCTGTGCTAGCTTCCTTGAAAGATCATTTGTAAGAAACTCTTCTTCTTGTTCATAATTCATGGCCAAAGCTTCTTTCTCTTTCTTTAATGAATGAATCTTTTTTAGTAAAGTATTACTGATATACTCCTCTTCAGCCTCTGCCTGTGCTTGCTGTAAAAAATTAAAATAAAATCATACATTAGAGGGAGGATGGGTTGTACCCACGGCCATGTACATGTACTACAAACATTAATAATTTGATTGCTACATGTACATGTACATAAGATCTTTATCAAACTCAACATAAGTTCAATTTGTTAAAAGGATTCATAATTCAAGTACAAGTATGGGTAACAGCTAAATTGTATTATAATATCGTTAGGAAAATGATAGAGTAGCTGTGGTTAGATATGAACAGAGTTTAAAGTTCTACTGGTACACTGTATCTATAAACCAGGCCATATATAGTGGCCACTGGCTACACACACACACACACTCTCACACACACTCACACACACACACACTACATTACAGCTCTATAAAGTCCGTTATATGCTAATAGTTTAATGATAATACATAATGTAACAGTAGATTGTTTCTCTTGTAAGATTTGTAATAATGAGTTAGACAGGTGCAATTGTATACATTATGACCATTGTTTTTATTAATAGGATACAATGGTGACCTACAAGCTGTAGAACACACTCTCATAGAGACAAGGAAAGAACCATACCTCAAGGACACATCCAGGAAAAACACAACAATTTTATTGTACATGTACATTATGGTGGCATAGTCTGTGGTTTTCAAGAGAGGGAGCTAACGGGGACATCAATAGAGAGAGAGTGTGTGTCCTTTAGAGTGTATGGTGTACATGTAAACGTGACTTGAATGTGTCAATGAGTGTTGGCTTACTATGTTGACCGAGGCCTGCCTCAGCCGTTTGTTCTCTTCCGTTAGGTTCTTGCACTTTAACTTAAGCATCTCCATCTCTGACTTGAGGACTGCATTCTCTTGCAGGACCGTCGCCAAACGAACACTTTCACCATCTAGAGAGAGAAGGAGGAGGGAGAAAAGTGAAAAGTATTAAGAGTGTTTTCAAAAAGCTGACCACGAACTGATAAACAATATGGAGGACAGTAGAGAGATTGAAATGCCAACACCTCGCACGCGTACTCTCAGTAGACAGAACACACAATCAATACTAGCAACAGTATACTTACCAGGGGGACCTTCATTAGTAGACATGGAGCTCTCCAGGCTCTCCATACTGCTGCTTTTGCTGGCCTGAAGGCTTGAAATACTAGCGGTAGAGTGTAGACTACCTGTTCGCTTTAAACCAGTCACTTCCTTGCTCCCTCCTCCACTGGCAACCCCGGTAAACCCGGCAGGGTTCATGTCTTCTCTATAGATAAAGAGACAAATACAAGATCTTTCTTTTCTCTCTCGCTCTCTCTCTCTTTTTCTGTCACTCTGTCTTTCACACTTCTCATTAAATATTCATTGAGTTGAGACCACACCCAACAACAGCCACACCTACAATTTGCACTGCTTGCCAGCTCCACCTTGTGAGAAAATGTCCCGCACTCTTCCAAGAGATAATGGAGTCCTTTGCAGAGCTGTAGCAGCCGGAGATCAAGAGGTAGGACAGTCATTTTAAGGATTTCAATAATTCTGCTATTATTTTTAGCTTGTGGCATCTTTATTGAGTTCTGGTTCTAATGTAAACGAGGCTTCCAGTGATGGAAAGTATCCATTAGTCATTGCAGCTTTCCAGGGACATGCAGAAATAGCTAAGCAACTCTTAGAGGCTAAGTAAGCACTGCAAAAGATAATTCATATACACTTATACACACCCAACCATCACAGTGCTGATGTGAATGTTGCAAACATGAGTACTGGCTGGACTCCATGCCACGCTGCAGCTATCAGAGGACATGGTAAAGTACTGCTTTACCTAATGGAGCAACAACCAGACCTCAGTCTTAAAGACACCATGGGAAGGTATTGATTTAACAAAAAGTTGAAATTATTCTTTGGTGTATGTCGACACACAGAACTGCTGTGGACTTTGCATCTGCACAGGATTCTATCTGGCCATATTTTGGAGGTAAGGGCAATTAAATTAATGTTACTTTACACTCTTTCTTTATCAGTTTTAAAATGTCAAAGGACATCGAAAGAGAATCTAATACGCTTAGATGTAATCAGGAAAGAAGAGGAAGAAGATTTGAAGGGAAGTGAATCGGAACAAGTTAATGAAAGACCCAGGAGTACAAAGCCTCTCAGCTACTACAGTAGGCCTGGTTCATCTTACGTATTAACTGAACAATCAACTAAGAATGAGCTGTCGTCTAAAAGCAAGGTAACTAGATTAATATTAAAGTACTATAATGATCATGAGATGGTTTCAATTTCAGAGTGTAACAGCTGCAGTAGCTTATGGAGACATTCTCTATGAAGAAAGATAAATCATGACAACATAAACAACTGTATTAACAACAACAATAATAATAATAATAATAATAGTGATAAAGACATGTGTCGTAATTTTGGGTGAATTAAATTAGAATGGGTGCAGCTACAATGTTCTAGTCCTAATCGGTAAATTGCATTTCCATTCTTTATGAATCTCTTCTGCCTGGATCTTAATGTCTCTCATTGCCTCCTGCATCAAATCAGTCACTTTCTTCCTGAGGAGTACACCATTCTCAGAGTGAGCACTACGAAGTCCAGATACATCTAAAGGGTCTCCGACAAATAGCGTCAATCTCTTGAAGAACCTAGGCATGTACGGTCGTTTCTCCGGCAACAGGTCTTCCATTCCAACATGCCATATTGGGAGAACAATCGGCGCTATTTTAGCTTCAGCAATAATTCTTCCGACACCTGAGAGAGGGAGAGAGGGGGGAGGGAAAGAGAAGACAGAAGAGGTGTATAATTACTGTAATAGTTGCAAATGCAATAAGGTTTTACCCCATTTTAATCTCATGTTGGTGTTACTGATATTGACTTTGCCTATAATCATAAAAGTGATAGAATCAGCTGCTAACTACTGAGCAGCTGCCATTAAAACAAACCTTCAGGAAATAAGTGAACCCAATGGCCGTCATCGAGCAAATCGATACAAAAGTTTAACGCTTTTTGATACACACCATCACCTTTGGAAAGAGGAGAGACAAAGACACGATAACAAAGAAGATCAAAATGGAGGAAGCTCATTAGACATTATAGACTGAACTATGGTCTACAGTGTACCTCTAACAATTGGTATTATCTGTCCTGTTGCCAGCACTGCATTAAACAGCTTGTTCGTGAAGCATATCTCTTTAGCAGCTGGGGTCCTGTGAACAAGAGAATGAAATAACTACAGGAGGAGTAGGGGAGGGATGCTACTAACCATTTCCTGGTTGTCATTTTTAAATCACATCTCATTGGAAGAGGAGCTAATACAAGAATGATGTAATACATTATATGTACATGTTAAATTATATGAATATTTGCATACAAAGATCCCCCATTGCTATTAGTACTTCAACCCGTACCACTATTATTATAATTCAAATAACAGTAACCGCCCACATACCAAATATGACAGGATCGTCAATACAAGATGAATGATTAGACACAGTGACTAGAGGAGTTCCCTCTGGTCTCTCAAGAATTGCTTTAGTTAATCTGTTCAAGTTCTTTGTTTGGACTTGTTGCAATCCTTTAAAGATAAAACAAGAAAATTTCAATTTATAAGATAAGAAAACTAACTGAGATAGAGTTTACAGAGGGCATGGCCAGACATGAAGAATGGTAGCTGCCGTAGCCGCCATTTCAAACCAAATGTCTTTGGAAAGGGCCAGTCCTTTAGGCTGGAGCCTTTGTTTGATATCTTTGATGAGGTCGAACTGAAAGACGCCATTGAATATTAACCCTTTGACCACACCCATATTAGTCACGCCCTTCACATCTTCATTGATAGAACATTCGAACCAGGAAACTTTAGAGTTTTTGAGATTTTCTGATATGCTCAGGCACACAGTATTCAAAGTAGCTTATGCACAAACTTATCTCCTACTATAATTTAATGTCCTTTTTATTTTTAGATTACTAGAAATGTCACAAGTGTCAGGACAGTGAATACTGTAGCTCAAGACCTATCACCTGAGGCTTTGGCCCAGCAAGAGTTTTGTAATTCTTTTGTTTATTTTTGTCTCTTAATTTACAAGGAAACCTTTTTCTAGCATATTCTAAAGTCCAGTTATTGGGGCGTGTCGGTCAAGACCCTAAGTTGGTTGGTCTTTACCAAGAGACAGCACTCTTTCATGTTTTTGTCAACTATCATCCGAGTCAGTTATCTGAAACAGAACCAGATCTATTCGGGGATGTGTTAAGATCCAGAGGTAATAATTACAAATTGTATTCCACCTTGCATGCTAAGTATTGTTTTAATTTAATGATGTTAATGATTTTGTTGCCAAAGTTTATTATTAGCAAATTTAATGTCTTGTGTATTGTAATCATTTTTTAGCAAATTGGTTCACCGTCTTTGCTACAAAACCTTCACTAAAGACATACGTAATGGAGTCTGTACGGAAAAGGTAATCTGTAAGTGCTGCAGCATGAAGGATGAATGGATTATATATTCACATTATTATTATTATTCGTAATTATTATTTTATTCTGTAGGACACGTGTGTTGTGTATTGGATCCTTATCTAGAGATGCTGAAAGAAACGTATTCACCGTCAAACTCAGTAGGCCCACCATCTACTCAAAATTGATTGTGATTATAATTAATAATAATAATAATTATTATTATTATTATTGAGTTCTCTTTTGTTCAAATAGATGACCTTATCCTGATAGATACTCCTCGTCTTGAGTTGAATAAAAGAGGAACAGCTGGCAAAAGGAAAAGTACAAGCTGAAACTTTCCTTATATAATTATGACATTTAGTATAATGATAATGATAATAATTATATATTCATAATATTCACACACATAAACAACTATGGTATCTATAATTGTATAAAGTCACAGAAAATTAATTTAAAAAAATAATAAACTATGCAAGACATTATTAACGCTCCGCCCACAAACATTACAAATAAAACCACGCCCTTGACACGTGTTACAACAAGGCAGCCATTTCTGAATTCTGTACTTAATAATGTTCAGACAGACACTTTTCAAAGTAATCCATGCGCAACCTTGTCCCTTATTCTTCTTATCACAGGTCAGTAATGTCGCCAGTTCCATTAGGACACTCAAGACAGCTCCTGTTCTGAGTATTGAGAAGTGTAAGTCTGCCATCTTGTAAGGACATTAATTATTATTTTTAATTTTGAGTGCTACGCTGTAGGGTATCTCTTTATGTTTATACTCTTCTCCACTTTCATCTCTTTTTTTAGCATTTTGTAAAGTCCAATTGTTGGGACGAATTGGTGCTGACCCAAAAATTATAAGTACCGGTAACAGAGAGGTGGTGCTATTCAACGTTGCCGTTAATATTATGGCAAAAAAATTAGATCCAGCTGGAGAGACGTCTGATCCTGAAGGTAACTTTTTATGTTTCAACGAGTACATAATAATGAAGTTTAATCATTATTAATTTTTAGCAGCTGATAATATTCACCAGTACACTCACTGGCATGCTGTAGTTGTGAGGAGACCGACTTTGCAAACCCACGTTTTGAAAAACTTTTTTAAAGGGTAAGGAAAGATTGAAGGAAAATGTAGTTTATAATTATTGTTCTTTTTGTAGTACACGAGTGCTGTGCAATGGTGTACTGGCATTGAAGACCCAGGAAGGATCCAACAGACCTTCGTACACTGTAGTATTAGGTGAGTCGTGCTTGCTTTAATGATTAATGAAAGTATTTATTTATTTATTTTCTGTTTTTATTTCTTTCGTTCATTAGATGAAATAACTAATTTAGGCCATCCAAGTCAAAGACAAAACTTGTCTGAAAGTTCTGAAGATAAAAATGAGTCATCTGAGACTGACAATGCAGACACAGCTTAACGTGCATTATTATTATTATTATTATTATTATTATTATTATTATTATTATTATTATTATTATTATGATAAATAGTTCACTTAAACATACTTTTGTAGTAATAAATTGTAATAATTATTGTTACATAAAAACTATGTTGTTGTAGAATTTTTTTGTTATAAATCTACAAAAAATAATTTTAATAATCAATAATGTGTGTGGGTGGTCATGTAATAATAATAAATAATAATAATAATAATGATTAGAGTGACCAGCATCGTTTCAATAAGTGTACAAACTCATGATCAGCTAAAATGTCTATACTCACTCCAATGTAGTAGTGTTCAAAATCCTATTGTGTAGTGGAGGAAAATATATTATATATATATTATATAATATGAATAAAAATATTCATATTTTTGTGTGTGTAGTGTGTGTGTGCATGAGGTATAGAAATGTTATTTTATCATTATTGTACTGCATCATATGAATATTTTTGGCAAGTCCTACATCAATATAATGAATATCATAACAGTATAATGAATATCATTATGCTGTGTAGAGTATAGGCATCAGCAGCAGCATGTACTGCATGATGACAGTAAACAGGTGTGAGTAGTTTACTTAGTATGCCTCAAACAAATGCATGTATGTACTATCAACTCACAGTATAATTGATACAGTTCCCATTAGAGTGTCTACTCCTGCTAGCTGGAACAAGGTATCTTAACATACTGGAAACAACCTCTTCTCCAGTCTTATGACCACTGATCACTTCAGGATGATTGGATGAGCAAAAGTTTTTATGTAAATTAGACAATTGAACTACTCCTCTCTTCCCTGGGTCCAACTTCTGAAACACCTACCAGGGAGAGAAAATAATAAAATAATGTACAGCAATCAAAAGCAACAGCATGTTTGCAGCAGTATATAATGTGGCAAAGAATTTTGTTTCTGATCCAGACAATAAGCCTAAGATTCTATGGAAGATACAGCCATGCTTTAACAAAAGTTAACAGAAAGAGAGTTTTATTATCAAAAAAAAAAATAATTAGTCAGAACAGACAATACAGTATACATGTACGTGCAAAAAATATAAGTAATATAATTATTCAAGAGCAGCACAGTTTTGATGATGCAGTAGCATCAGTTTCTTGTACTGGTACAATCCAGTATTGAGGTACATGTAGCTCTTCATTATTGATAATGTTAGTACTAGGATCAGTAGAGGAGTTTGTTACAGTAGTAGAGAAGATGATCATACTAGACTCCGTATTTGGAGTAAAAGAGAAGTTAATCACAGTAGACCCAGTAGAGGCAGTAAAAGAGCAGATATTGCTTGCAACCACAAGAGCAGAAAATGATACTCCTCCATCCATTGCTTCAGTTGGAGTGCATGTAGCTCTTTCCATCAAGAGAGAGGTAAAATTATGAAGAGTGTGACTGTAAACTGATTGATTGCTGTCACTGCATGTGACTATATACCGCTAGTCCGCCACTAGAAATGCATAATTTTATTCATTTTGGGCTGGTATAGTACTGAGGACTATATTCACAAGACTATAACATTATACATTATAGGTCTGGTAATCCCTACTGACCTGCAACATGCCAAGCATAGGCGGTTGCAGGCCTAGGCATTGGGGGTCATTGCCTAGGTTAAAAATTAGACCGGAAGTAGAAACAATGCTATTTAACCCTTTTACCACACCCCTTTAATTAGAAATGCCTAGAATGAGTTGGACTTCTGCAGCCGCCAAAGATGCCAAGTCAAGAATAACTGCTTACAATTTTGATTATAGAGCTGTTGCACGGAAGTAATCAACAGGGGGGTGCAGCTATGACTGGGTGGCAAGAATGTATGTGGAATGAATGAACAAACTGGGATTTTCCAACGATGAGATATCATACTTGGCTATAGAATATTATAGAGAGTTCTTTACTCAATGTCTTCATTTCCTAGTTTGCATTAGCCTGTATTGTAAACTGCAGAAGTTATTTAGATTTTTTTCTACATTCTCCCCATTCCACCATGTACATTCTTGCCACTCAAGTAGGGGTGCAGAGATTATGCTGGAATAATTTTAGGAATAATAGGTTCCTTAAGAATACTAGCATAAATTAAGAATAAACGGTAGTGAACGGGAATAAAAATGGCTACTCCATGTGTTATGACATACTCCATGTGTTGAATGGTGGAATTGAGTGGTGGAATTGCAATTTAGAAGGACTGCCAGCTTGGTCTTGTGTAGCCAAGAAAATCATGCTTTTACAGCCATCTAGTGGAAGCATAGAATGAGTGTTTTCGTTACTTAACTCAACATTTGGCGATCAACAAGGCACGTCTCTCTTCAACTATATACAGGCTTCTCTTATGTTACATGAATAATTTGAGAATAATAGCCATAAATACACAAGAATAATTACAAAAAAATTAAGAATTTGGGAACAGAATAATAGGAAATTTTTTGGGAATAATCCCCTCAGGCCTACACTCAAGATGGCATGCAGACAGTGATAGCCGCACCCCCTGTTGATTACTTCTGTGCAACAGCTCTATTGCACTATCTTAAATTTACCTTCCTCAGTATCAATTGTCTCTCCTCCTTTAGTTCCCCCACCAGTCCTGGTATACACCTGTCCAGCCACATTCCTTCTATCATCTTAGCCCCACCCATTGCCCCGCCCCCTCTTCCTCTAGTTCTATCAGTTACTGTAGTCACAATATAATGATCATGTAGTAGATCCCACAGTTGTACAAAATCCTATAAAGAGACATGTATAGTCAGTAGTAACATTTCAAATTTCAAGTGCATTGTCTTAGTGGTTCAAACATGTTTACTACTCTTTGCTAGCTGTCAATGATTATATTATAAAAATAGAACAATATCCTAGTGGTAAAATTTCCTATGAATATCATTAGGAATATCCCATAACAATGTGAAGGTCATAGCATGTGATGTAAACTAGCAGTGTTGATGAGTAGGTAGAACATACATGTAATGGTGCAATTATGATAACATAATAGGTGGGTATGTGGTACTGCACCTCCAGAAAATGGTTACATCATGTACACAGTACATGTACAGTCTACATGTATACATGTACATGCATACCTCAGGTGTCAGTCCAATATGATAAGCTCTCAGTGCTTGATGTAACTGATTCTGTAGTATCAGTCCCTCATTAGTACACAACTGCTGTAACATTCTCCCTAATCCAACCAGCGTCTGACTAGCCCTCCCTTGTAACCGATTCCTTAACATACCTACATGTACATATATGCACACGTTATGTTTACTCTAGTATACTTTAGTATATTTTAGTATATTCTAGTATATCCTAGTATACTAACTGACCTTGTAATGTTGCTAGTAGTGTTGTTGATCGTTGGGTTTCTTCTGATGGTGGAGGATAAAGGTATTCTCTTAACTTAGTGTATTCACTCTGTTTTAAACCTTCCTTCCTGATAATAATAATATAATAAATAAAATAAATAAAATTAAGATACAACTGCTAATCTCCCATACATTAAATCAAATTTTGCTTGTTCATCAACATGAGTGATCCTCAGTCCAAGTATTGAGCGTCTCTTGAGACTCTCAGGAAGTGAAGGCACTGACGAGGACTTAAAATAAAGCGTAGTGCCCTGTACCAACAAACAAACAAACAAATAATAATGTATTATATTTAAAGGATTTATTATACTTTTCTGATGTGAGTGATATTGTATTGTTCTCCTTCTCTCCTTCCTTTAGGGAACTGATAGACAGCACGAGGTATAAGAGGAAGAGCTGATACTCTAGGGGGAGAGAGAGGGAGTTGGAGAGAGGGTATAAATAGGTAGAGGAATTAAAAAGGAGGAGAGAAGGTAAGGTTGGTAATTGAAGTCAGTGTGCAGTGTACCTTTGTCCAAATTGTCTAAACTCATATATAGTGAGTGATCCATCACTTAGGAAGAAGAATCCGCACAATTCTCTGTGAACATCACGACCATTTCTACAATGAATATGCACAATGAGATTTATATTATATGAGCTTGTGTACATGTACATGTACATGTATTTGTATGTGTGTTTCAGTGTTGATTCCAATCAAAAATAGATTTTTTATGAAATTTAAAAGTTACTCAAAACTGGGTCAAAGTCCCTGTACTATATTACATGTACATGTACATCAGAAGTGATGGTGTCAAACTAACTGAGATAATATTCTAGTTCCAAACTGGATCCACTTCTTTAGTCCTTTCTCTCCGAATGGGAAACCTTCAATCTACAATAACAGGTACATAATAATAGCTGCTACTGTTACTGTATCATTATACTGACCTGTTGCTCTATTCTCTGCATGTAACACGGTTCTTGCTTCTCTCGCTCGTGAGACAATAGCTTCTTCTCAATAAATTGCAACTGATTACTCTAAAAATACAAATAAAATATAAAATATAATATTAAAAATAAACTACACAGTACATGTACTGTTACATTTACTTACTGACATTCCTACATCAGGAGTAACCTCAGGCTGTTTCTTTCTATTACTGTCATCAAACACATCAACTGTTGTATTGTTCATTGAAATAAAATGATCTTCTCTTTGATTTACTGTCTCTTCTATCAGTCCACCATCAAACTCCTCCTCCTCCTCCACTTCATTACTAACACTCTGAGGCAGTCTTGGTGTACCCCAGCTACAGTAATGGAATTGAATTATTAAAGTATGGAAAAATGAAAAAATACCCAAGGCTATAGCCCATGGTTTTTTCCAAAAATGGGTCCAAAATGACCCCAAATTTTTATTACATTTTCTGATACATATTGATGTCTTTATGCTGTGTAGAAAGTTTGAGCTGATTCCGACTTCAATTTTTCAAGTTACGGCCATTTTAAGAAAATGTCAAATTTCTGAAAAATACCCAAGGCTATAGCCCATGGTTTTTTCCAAAAATGGGTCCAAAATCACCCCCAATTTTTATTACATTTTCTGATACATATTGATGTCCTTATGCTGTATAGAAAGTTTGAGCTGATTCCAGGCTCAACTTTTAAAGTTATGGCCATTTAAAAATGAACCATTTCATAAAAAATACATGTACCTAAGACCATAGCCTATTCCTTACCTAATGTCTGTTCTTGTGGTTGCACGATTATTATCAACAGGCATACGAATGATCTCCTAAAAATAAACAACATCACAACATTAATAAACAACAATAAACAACAACAATAAACAAACTACATGTAAAAAATTGTGCACTAAGTTCATCTGTTGACACATTTCATATCAAAAATGTCACACATTTCGAACTGTGAATTAGCAAAATGACAAATTGATTCAACCAATTATCGCGATCCACAGGTGAGAATTACTGATACTCATTACTGATCAACCAATACATGTACAAGTACATCAAACATTGCGTACTATTGGGTCCATTTGATCATCTGGTTCATTAAAACGTGCCAAGTCTAAACTGGGTACCCTACAGTTTAATAATCAATTAATAGTAATTAATAATAGACTCCGCCCACCCTTCAGGAGCAGGTTGAACTGTCATCCTCCGAAACGGCTTTACGAAAATAGTCTAATTAATAAAAATAATAAATAAAATTAATTAATTGGTAGTAATAGCAATACTTGTGTTTTTGGTGTTCTTTCTGATTCGATAGGAAGTTCAACTGATGGTTTTAATGAAGCCTAAAAGAGAGAGAGAGGGAGGATCAAGTTGAGTGTTGTTACTGTATCTTGTACCTGTATTGAGGTAGCATCAGGTCCTGGTTCTTTCTTAGTGGAGCTGATGTCAATGTACCGTCTCCTCCTCTCCTGGTATGGAGGAGGACCAAAAGGGAAATGCTTCCTTTGTCTATCAGAAGATAAGGACATAATAATAATAATAATAATAATAATGTTATTTTTCATATTTTCTATTGAACCTTGGAGCATGAGGAGTGCTTGACAGTACACCTGAGTCCTTGGGTATGATAAAGGTCCTTCTTTCATCTGACATATTCCTAAAGGAAATACACACACTCACTCTCTCTCGCTGCCACCTTCCCTTACTCTAAAAAGCGCCAAAACTAAACAGACAGCAACCATGCCACTCCTGTTTTGTTACCATAGCAACACTAGCAAGATACACGCCCATTAAATTCAAATTCGCGGGTAACGGCGCGGAATTTAATCAACACATCGCTGCTTGCTACCGGATTTTTCCCCATTCTGAGAACACACTGACAATGAATGGTGTCACATAAACATTATTACTTCAATGACATGTTTTAACTGCTTTCACAATTACCGTTGATTTAATCAAACAATAATTACATTTTTTAAAATAAAAAAACAAAAACAAAAACATCACCAGGACGATCAAACAAGAGAGGATCATAGAAATACTTTAAAATATTACACGTAAACACAAAATAACCATTTACCGTAACAACAACAACAACAACAACAACAACAGTAATAGTAAGATTAATAATAATAATAATACATAAATACAATAATGATGATGATAATGATGATCTGTTTTTCTGTCCGTTTCTCTTACGATGAGGATAATGATCCTGATGATTTTGAACCAGTTATTCCAGAGGATCCTCTCCTCAAAGAGTTGGTATTCTTAGCCCCTAGTGCGTGCCAGCGACTGATCGGGTTCCTAGGGTGAGAGACCATCTCCTGCCAGTGCTGTCTACCCGAGGGATGGTTAGCTCCTTCTCCTAATGTAAAGAACCCCATGAGGTCGTTACGGCCCAGACGATCATAATCCATGACTGAGACCTCAAGTAGTATGAAGCTGATGTTCATGTCTGTCACATCAAATTGGAACTGTTCGTTATAAATAGGGACTAGTGTCTTCTTCTTTATAGTTGACTTCCATTTGGCCTGCCTGGTCCCTTTGTGAAGCAGATATATCTTGACATAAGGATCTGAGAGAGAGAGAGAGAGGGAGAGGGGGGGGGAGAGATGAAAGAGGGTTGTGTATATTGAAAGTAGATGGCTACACGCATTATTAATACATTTTGCTACTCATCAGTAACTTAACATGACTACAGTACATGACTGTGGAGTAAAATGTTGTTTATCATAATCACTACCTTACAACTTTTACTCATAAACTAATAGACTGTATATTTATTATAACCCCCACCCTCTCTCTCTCTCTGTCCCATTCCTAATGAGTTATTGTGTTATACAGTTTGACTCCAAGTCAGTTTCCTTTTTAAATATAATAATGATATTAATTTGGCTCAATACTTCATTCAATACATCAGGTAGTCTAATAAACTCCTTTATAGGTATAACTAGACACAGCAGTTACACAGTCAGTTAGTAATAAACTACACAGTCAGTTACTAATAAACTACACAGTCAGTTAGTAATAAGCTACACAGTCAGTTAGTAATAAACTACACAGTCAGTTAGTAATAAACTACACAGTCAGTTAGTAATAAGCTACACAGTCAGTTAGTAATAAACTACACAGTCAGTTACTAATAAACTACACAGTCAGTTACTAATAAACTACACAGTCAGTTACTAATAAACTACACAGTACATGTACAATGACATTATGTTAGTGTACCACTGACCAGTTGTTGATCCTAACCTCTCTCTGGCATATGCAGCACCTGCTCTGTTACTACATGTACCTCTTTTGCCCTCCCTCCCTCCCTCCCTCCCTCCCCCTCCTCTCTCTCTCCCTCCCTTCCTCCCTCCCTCCCCCTCTCTCTCTCTCTTCCATTACCAGAGGATCCTGATATGTCCATTCTCTGTAGGTTAGTTGCTTTCAGTAGTACTCCAGATATAATGTTAGATGAAGGATTGTACATCAATGATATGAGGACATCTCCTTGTGAATCATTCTAAGTACAGAACAAATGATCATGATAAAAATAAGAATTTAATAATTCTTATATGAGGGTAAGATCATAGATATGCTTTGATGGAGGGAAAGTCTTTAAATAAATCATCAAACAAAAGTTACAACAAGGAAACCAATACTATACCCATAATGACATGCTACAGAAATAGAGAGTTAAGCCGTTATACCAATTAGTAAAACATTCTCTCTACTAGTAATTACTATAATCATAAGGACAAGGTTGGTATTTTAATGACATGTCACTACTCACAATAATACACAGTACCAGGAACTATACTAGAGTATATGTAATGTACCTAATACTTGACTATACACACTCAATGAGGTGACTGGACTATAATGACTGACTGTGTATAACTAATGAATGAGCATGTGCACTCAAATGAAACCATTCTAAAATTGAATGGATTACCATTCTAAAATTGAGTCACAAGAATCTATTTTTAGTAACGGTCTATTCTTAGCAACAATCAGAGTGATGGCCAATCACTACCAGTAACAGTGGATGGTTTACTGTTAGTATCACATGTATTGGACTGAAGTGAAGCCAAAGCTTCCATTGGCATGAGATATTGAAGATAGTAGGAGGGCCAGCTAGTACTAATAATGAATGAATATTCACATTCAGTAGAAGGAGTGGGTATCACAGTCCAGTATATGTGAATAATAAAAATAATGACATTAATTACTGGATAGTTTGTGTCAGGAATAAAACTATACAAGTGATGGCAGTCAGAGTACATGAACATGTACTTAGTGATCTAATATCACTCGTAGCTATTTCAGTGGCCCATTCAATAGAAACAATAGAAAACAAGACCAGCTTTACTGAAAACACCTCAACCATTAGGTAGTGTAGTACAGTCAATTAATCAATTACTGAATAGTAAAATACCAAACAGACACACACACACATAGTGTACAGTGTATGTACATGTACTGAATGTTACTATGAATGATTTACTAATGTAAGAGACAGTGTAGTCACATTATTGGGTGACATCAAAATTACAAACTACCACACAAGAAGCTCCTTTTCATATACAATGTAGGTACATGTATATGTACATATACATGTGTATGTACATATACATGTACATGTACACATGTACATGTATATGTACATGTGTACATGTACATATACATGTACAATGTTCCCTCTCTCTCTCTCCCTAACCTGCATTAGTCCAGTGGGTACTTCAGCTAATGGAGCTGATACCCTCACCCCATAAAGGTCAGCCTCTTCCAGCTGGAGTACCACAGTGCCCATGTCCTCACTGGAGGCAAGGTCCTTATCAAGGACTCTTAGCACGAGGGTCTGACGACGGATCTCATTAGGAAGGAGACCAGAGAACTCAAAAACCTCATTGAATATCGGGTCAAGGGTCCTCTTGTGGACCTTTGACTCAAATATCTCTTCCTTATTTGGTAATAGGAAGAGGATCACAAAAGGATCAGAAGTACCTCTCCTGTCTTTAGCAGGAAGGTTGGTTCCCTCCATTAGGTGAACCGTGAGGGTTCTTCGCTGAATATCGTAATAAAGAGAGAAATGGAGGAGTGGTTTTGAGTCAAGATGCTTCCCGTCTTTATCACTTCCTATTATTTTAGCTTGACCAGAAGGAGAAGGAGCAGTGACAGTGACTGATGGTGAGGGTTGCTCAGTAATGGCTGAATATCCTGATATTTGGGGATGGACTGGCATGGGAACTCTCGGCTGCTTATACTCAAATACTTTATCTAACGGAACCTTCTCGTATTGCGGCAATACAACGTCAATGTTCATTTCTGATGCTTTTTGATACTTTACTGACGAGTGTTTGTCCTTTGGCTCCTCTTCTTCAGGGCAACACGGGCAAAAGGAACAGCAATCCATTATATTATTAATTATTATTTAATAGTCTAATTATTATACTGTAGTTACTGTTGGTGATGAGTGTGCTTATAACTAGTTGTCCTACTGGTTTCCTGAACCGGTCTGACTGGTTTCTTGATCAATTTTAGGGCTAGAGTCCCAGTGATCCTCAGGTACTGTTGGCTCAGGCTGATTGAGATCAGACCAAGTGTTTTTGACCTACACGTAAAAATTAAAAAAATAGTAAAATCTCGGTAGACAAGACATCTCTCTTCCAAAAAAGAGATTACATTGACTAGATACACAACATTAGATGCTAAATCAACAGAAGTTATTGCTTTCAAACATTAAAGGACAGCAGGAGCAGCTGCTGCTGTTTGGGATTCTCTTCCCTCCATTGTGTTAGCTCAGTGACAATAATAACAGGCCATGATATGTGTATAAACAACAAAGCTGTTGTTTGTCCATTACTAAATGACTCCCCATCTGTTATACCATTAAACTCTTAACAGTTAATAATTAATAAGGACATAATTTGAAGTACAATGTACATACAACAGCACATCCTTCATTAAAATTCCCTGTGAGTTACAGTTAATTACAATTATGCAGCACTAGATACATCTATAGTACAAGGTGCCTGGTTAATTAGATATTAAAATACTATCTGTCATCTTAATAAAATTAACAACACATTCTCACTGCTAACACAACAATAGGACTATGTACATCAAGTACTAGTTGCTTCTAGTGGAGGGTTGACATAAATAAACAATTAGAATGACTACATGTAAGCCTAAAACTAATAAAATGAAACACAGCAAGGAAGAGAGAGAGGGGGGGAGGGGGAGAGAGGGAGAGAGAGAGAGGGGGGGAGGGAGGGTAGATATGAATTAAAACAAGTATAAGATGCCATTATGCTTCATTGAAACTACTACTATAGAAATAGTGTACAAATACATAACGTACACTGTTATTAGTTTCTATAGTGCAATAACAAATACATACAGAGAATATTCAATACATATACATTATATGCAGTATCTTTCAATACATGTACATATAAATGGCAGACTGAGTTGGTATTATATACAGTCAATCTTTACATAAACAACTCCTGACACACGCAGCCTGGCTAGTAAGACACACTACAGTACTGCCAAGACTACATGATGATACCTGCTGACTACTACTCCAATAACATCATTAGCAGGCTCATAATAACCTTTAAACCACACACCACCTTAATATAGTAACTATAACTCATAACACAGAAGACTGTAAAACTACATGTAAATGTGTACATTGAGATTATGAAGACTTTCATTTTCATTATTTCATGCAAACTAAATGACAACAAGAGCAGTAATGCTAATTTAGGTAGCGATTGGTCAATTTTTAATGAATTGAATTATTTATAATCATTGAAACATGCAGGCAATGCGCACAAATAAAGATTCTATTTATTATAATTATTATCGCTAGCAGTTAATTTAGAAATACGAGCATGTTAGAACTTGCAAGTACATGTACAATGACGCTATTATTATTATTAATTGATATTACGGACCCTTGTCAAACAATCCCAAAACTCCTTATGCTCCTTTGAACACTGACCAAACCAGGTCCCCCTAATGCAGTGCTGGAGCTTATCTCTTTCCTCCTGGCAGAAATGCAACGCTGCTATGTTGACTTGTTTCTGTTCCTCTCTATCTTTTGCTGTCCTTCCTAACAAATCTCTGGCCATTAGAAGAGGATAATCTATTGATATACAGCGTACAAGACAAGCTGGGTTAGGAGGAGCACATGTACACTGGTCGTGTTAGGTGCCTGGGCCCGGCCGAGAGAGGCCTCGGGGGTGTTGATGATAATTCGATTCATTCATTCACAGGTGGCACATTGAAACACTTTTAGACTCTCTCTCATCACTCTAGCTCTGCTTACCTAATGAAGAGGAGAGTGGAGCGGAAAATATCGGTCAGCTATTCTTTTGTCTTTGATAAGGAAGAAGAGGGAGAAGGAGTCAAAGTAGAGGAAGAAACGAAGGGAATTTATGGAGGAATCTGCAAGGAAACGTAAAGCCACACCTACAAGATTGTTATGGGCGTGGTGTGTTTATTAATAGGCGTGGTTTGTTACGGGCGTGAGGGTTAAAATAATTGAAGAATTTGTATTTTGTAAACACAAGTTAGGCGGGAATTATCTCAAGCTACTGAAGCTCAAATTAAACTAAAGAAATGGAGAACAGTGAAATAGAGGATAAGCACTTTTGGTTAGCTGCAGAGGATATTCAAAAAACACTGGAATACACCAAAGAAGTGAGTTTATGTAATGTATGAGAACTGAAGCAGTAATAATATGCAATATTTTTAATTCTTTATTCTCATTTTCTCTTTATTTTTCTATTTTAAAGGTACAAGATCAACTTAAGAGTTATGATTTTAGTAAACGTGAAAGAATATTCCAAGGAATCAGTTCCATTTACGAGAAACTGAGGAACTCTGAAAGCTACTGGAGACAAACGGAAATTGGTAATCCTTAAATTTATGGAAGTAGCTATGTACTAGTTAATTATTTTATTATTTATTTAAGTAGTTAATTACCTATTTGTGTTTAATTAATTATATGACAGCAACTCTCTCTCTCTCCACTTCCCTTTCTCTCTATAACTACTCATTCTAATGTCATATCATAGAGATTGAGAATGAGAAGACGAAAGTTGAAAGTGAAATTAATGAAATGTGTCAAAGTGTCGTCCCATCAAGCAAGACTCCAACAATTGAGTAATAAATACATTTAATTAATAAGTGCATTCATAATAATAATAATTGGGGAATTTGGGGCCAAAAATTATTCTCAAAAAACCATGGGCTATAGCCTTGGGTACTTTTCAGAATTTTGGCACTTTTTAAAAATAGCCATAACTTGAAAAATTGAAGTTGGAATCACCTCAAACTTTCTACACAGCATAAGGATATCAATATGTATCAGAAAATGCAATAAAAATTTGGGGTGATTTCGGAGCCATTTTTTGGAAAAAACCATGGGCTATAGCCTTGGATATTTTTCAGAATTTTAGCATTTTCTAAAAATGGCCATAACTTGAAAAATTGAAGTCGGAATCAGCTCAAACTTTCTACACAGCATAAGGACATCAATATGTATCAGAAAATGTAATAAAAATTTGGGGTGATTTTGGAGCTATTTTTGAAAAAAAAGCATGGGCTAATGCTTCATTATTATTATTTTTTATTTATTTTTTGTAAAGAAATGCTCAGGAAACTGTTGAGGAGCTGACAGAGAGTCTAAGAGAAGAGAAACAATTATTAAAGACTTTAATGCAAAAGACTAAAGACAGGGAGTGTATCAAGTAAGTGTATACACACACATCATTATGATCCACTAGTAGCTTTGTATCTTATGATGTGTGGATTTGTAATAATAGCAACTTTAACATAATTATTTTAGTCATTTTTGGTCTCACCAGCGATTAGTGTAGGCCAAGGACTTTGTACAATGTAGTTACTTTGTTTTTAATTAAATTATTTATTTATTATTTTATTAATATAGATATGAGTTTAAACTACAAAAGAAGAGTCTACCAGTTCATTTCAATGAATCCTCAACAGTTGATACTGTTCAAGGATGTATCCTCCTAACATACCAGTACATGTACATCAATATGTACCAGTAATATCATTGGAATGAGTTCCGAGCAAAATAAAATCCTTCATTTCACAGTTGCATACAATACATGTAAACCATACACCTCACTAAAGTAGATCCACACTATACAGTATTACATTGAACTGTGTGGTATGAGTATATTCTAGCATATTGTACATGAACATGTACTTATTTTATTATAATTATAAATATTTATTATTATTATTATTCTCTTATTCCTTAATTCAAAATGGCTACCAGTTATGAGGAGAGATGATGGAGAGATTGAGTCCTTTTCATTTGATATCAGTAAATGTGATCATGTGGCTATAGCTAACTCACTCTGGGGACTAGCAACTAATGGAGTCAACGAAGAACTATTAACTAAACAAAATTAAATAAATTGTATATTTATAAAAAAATTATTACATAGTGAGTTATTTTTTGAAGGATTGCAATTACAAAAATAAAATTAACATGGCGCTTAGAAATTAAACCAATCCATTCAGTTAATCCTATTACCAATATCTATGCTCATGCTTTGATTTGCATTCCCTAATCCTCTCCAACCTACAATACAATAAATGGTAAAGTGATGAGGTATTACATTAACTGATAGTACATGTACATGATGATACATGAGGTTTACTGACCTTGCATACTCTGCCTCTTGTATTTCTGATCTCTCTTTATCTGTTAACTCTTTCATTCTCTCTCTTTTGTCTCTAATAATTATAAACAGTAAGAGGTGTATGTAAGTGTGTGTGTATACATAATGTGTGTGTGTGTTCATTAGTACTTGTAATATATGACATATCCATCATCATATAGTGGTAATGAGTATGGTCTGTCTGAGGTGATGGAATACCAGTACAACCTATTCTCAATATCAAGACATGATATCTCAGCTGGAAATGATAGTCTCTAATAGAACGAGAGAGAGGGAGAGTATCTTTAATATTTTTCAATGATTAACCTCTGTATAATAGATATACTCAACAGGAACTCCACTTAACTCTGACAGCTGTAAAACAATAATAATAATAATAATAAAGTGTTACTAATGCATGTTCTTTGTTATAATTTCTATTTTTACAGATAATACCTTTCCAATAACATGCTTAGGATCATAATCATCATTATCCAGTATAATTTCTTCTATTGGATCAACTGAACATTGTGATGGACGCCATCTTATAACATACACCTGTATCTGTGCTTCATTGTTCTTCTCTGGTTCTAATAATATAGTAATTAATATACTAACAATAAAATTATACATCATGTAACGTACAGTATACTGAAAATATACTGAGATATACTGACCTTTCAATGGTTCCACATACATTTCCTTACTATAAGTATCAATCACCTGATGATCAAGATATACTGTACCAGGGTACACTCCCCTCTTGTAACGTAATCTCATTCTACACAATAAGTTGTCACATGATAGTCACATGATAGTCACATGATGTACTTACTTGTCTAATTCAAGGACACAGTCAATTCCTTGTACTTTTGCTTCTTCAATAATTTGTTTCTTCAATTCTCTCACTGGTGTACCCTTAGCAACAATAGACTCCATCATAAAACTACAAAACTAAAATATTAAATATATAAAATGTAAAATTTAATAATCAATGTTCTTATGTACCTCTGTATTGTTAACTTGTAATAGATATAATTTAATTTTACACTCTCCTCTTCCTAATCCTCTACCCAGTCTTACTATCAACTAGTAGATACACAAAGTAATAAAGAGATGAGTGTGTGTGTGTTATTAGTACTTATAGTAGTGTATAATGGAAAGGAGAAGAGAGCCAAAATAAAACAATAAAGGCTATACCTTTGATCCAGAACCAATATACTCTAATGTCTTATCCATGAGTTCACACCCATTGCTTCTATACACTATAAAACCAGTAGGTGGTACACCAATCAGTGAAACTAGCTCCTCCTTCAATTGAGCTAATGTTATTGTCTTACTAACTTGTACCTGTATCCCTGTATTGAATAATTATTACAACGATTAACGATATTTTTATTATAATAGACAAGTTATTACTTCTTTCTCTCCCTTTATTTTCTTCATTTATTGATATAATTTTCATTATTATTCCTCCTTCAGTTGTAGTGGGTGTGGTTCCAGGTCCAGGAGCTGGGGGTATTGTAATGTTCAGTGCTATTGAGTTGACATGAAAATCAACATATCTGTACATCAAACTATCTTTGAATTCTTTTTGATAATCTTTAAGATCTGATGATACATAGAACAACTGAGTATATGACTGTGTGTGTGGAGGAGGAGGAGGAAAGTGGAATGCATATTGATCAATAAAAGAAGTATTAATGCTAATACTTGTATTATGATCTAACTTTGTCTCTTTTGTTGAGTATCTCCTTTAAAGTACTTCCTACATCACTAACATCACTAATACCAGTATACTTCTCCTTTACTATTCTCATACATGATGGATTGATATTGAATACCTAAATAAAGAAATGAACCAGATCAATAGAAGGAGAGCAATATTCTTCCTCTTACTTCTCCTATATGTTGTTTTAATTCTTTAACAGTCCAACCTAGCTCTCCTCTCACTGGTATAGCTGGTCCTACTTCACCAGTTGACAGATCAACCACTGATACCTTTAGATTAATACCTACACCATCAAACACATGTACATAGCCACATAGATAATAGAGTAAATGAAAGAGATTGGAAACTTCTGCGTGGGCATAGCAATAATGCCATTTGATTGCATTGTTGCTAAGCAAAAAAAATTGCTGACTAGGCAGTTTCTTTTTGACCACAAAATTCTTGATTTTTTCCATTAAAATTAGAATAACTCCAAAAAGAGTGCTCTGATGAAAAAGAAACTCGACTATCAAGGAGTTCAATGTTTTGCACTGTTAATTATTATTTATTTGGTATGTATATATTTAGATTAATATTTTGAGTGTTATAGCGATTTTGCCCATAAAATTGCTGTTTTCTCCCTCTAATGAAGACATTTGTAGCTAAACTCTAAAATGCTTGTCAGAATATAAAAGAACTTTCAATTACCTATGGAATGATATGAGGCAACACTAGAATAGCAAAAGCATGAAAGCTGTAGAGGCGAAAAAGTGTCAAAAAAGATTCAGACTTTGTGTACCCATAACTGGTCGAAAAATAGCTCTATTGAAACAAAAATGTTGCTACAGATAGCCATAAACTTTCTACGTGGAAAGGAAGATATATCATAAGCAAGCGCTATCTAATAGTCACACAATATTCCTTCGAGATCCTTTCTGCACAGCAACTACTGTGGAGGAGATGGGGAATGCAGATAAACATGGACGTTGCCAACCAGGTAACCAGGGGTAACAAAAACCACATCACCAGGCAAGAACGATAGTTTCCAATCCCTTTCATTTACTCTATTATCTATGATAGCCAGCAATAAAACCAACCACACTCACCTTGCTCATTGTATTTCTTAAAGGTTTCATTCTCTTCCCGAGTTTCTAAGAATAATGCAAAAGTATAATGATAATCAGCCACACTCATAATCTGTCCAATAGTTTGATGTTGATACTAAATTTAATGATGATAAGATATAATTGTAACAATAGGAAAGAACTTATACCTCATCAAGGTCAAAGGACTGATCCATTACTTTATTCCAATAATCATATTTAACTAAACGACATCTCTCAATAGGAATATGAGGAGCTAATTCTATTAACTGATAAAGAAATGAACAAAAATGAAAGAATAAATAAAAATAAATAAGTAATAGTTAATACATGGGGCGGCGTGTTCTATCTGATTTATCTGCACGAGCTTCTGGTCGAGTCGCTAAAATAGCGCACGAGGCCGAAGGCCGAGTGCGCTATTTTAGCAACGAGACCGGAAGCGAGTGCGGATAAATCAGATAGCACACGACGCCACATGTATTAATTGTTTTAGTGTATAGTTCCAGCAAAGATTGCACGTGCTCTGCTATCACTGATATCACACTGCTGCACATTAAATAAATGAGTGTGCTATTTATAATATCACACTGCGGTATTGGTGGGAGTGTTCTGTGGGTTTTATCACAACTGTTAGGCCTTTGATCTTTGCTGCAACTATACATTAAACTAATATAATAACCTCATAAGCTTTATCCAGTACACTGGGTAGTAATTCATCTTTATGCACTTCAAGAAATGAGTTTATTAATCCACCAGTAACAGGATGATTACAACATAAATAAATCTAAAATAAAAGACAAGATACACGTGTACATGTAGTATATACTTATAAGTTATAATCAGTCTCACTCTTACTGTACACATCTCTTCTTCGGTTTTTTGTTTCTTTTCTCTCTGTCTTTTCTCCAAATCTATTTGATTATCAACAATCAAATGATGACACATCATCAATAAAACCTTTAATATCTTTTATAATCTTCTCATTGTGTTCTCTTTCAGTGATTAGTTCCATATTCATTAATGATATTCTTTCTTGTAATTTCTCTATTATTCTTTTATTATCTACTAATGGCTGATAGTCTGGACTGGTCATTGCTTTAAGATGAAATTTGCAGTCATCAATTTCAAAAGACATTCCTCTTCTCACTTTGCTAGCAGCTTTAATTAATTATATAATAATTATTATAATTAATAACGATACTCTAACTAACCTGAATCAGGATTACTAGTAAGTGATCTCAAATACTCAATCTTCATTTTTAATAATTTGTCTGACAATTCTTTGTTTTCTTTTTGTATCTCATTAAACTGAGACCTCAATACAGTCAACTCTTCATAAAGTGGTTCTTCCTATTAATAATTATTATAATTAATACAAACTAGTGAGATATACCTCAACTTCTTTAATTGATTCAGTATCAATTTGAACAGACAATGATTCCTCCTAATAATTAAAATATAATTAAATTTATGTGAATTAATGATCCGCAATGAAAAGAATTAAAAATTAAACTTCTAACCTCAGTTACTTGAGCCATTGATATTTCTTGTTTCAATTCAATACTTTCCTATACATACAATTAAGATTACATTGCACGGTCTGGTAGCATAACATATACTTTCTCTTTGCTACTGATAGTATCTCTTAGTTTATATTCAGCTTCTTCAAGTATAATATAAGAAATAACCTGTACATATAATTAACACATTACAATCAACTGAACACATTGTTACATTGTACAGGTACTATAATGTAACTAATAAAAGGAATGATTATATTAACTGACCTCAGTGTGTTGTAGTAAGTCTTGATCCTTTTCTTTTAGTTCCTATACAATACAATATTCATTAAACAATATTCAATTATTCATATTATGTACCTTTTGTCTAACATCTTGTCTCCTCCATAATGTTAAGTTACCAATAGTCAGTTTCTTTAATCCTTGTCCCATTAGTATATGAATATTCTCTATCATCCTCAATACAGTAAACCCAACATCAGAGAAAGGAAAGGAGCAAGTGACACGTATTGATTCAGAAGGCTCTATATATTTAATCTTCAGTAGTTTACCAGAAACTTTTGCAAGAATTTCCTTGATGTCTTCCAGCATATGTTCCTTAGGCTTCCAGTCAAAGATAAAGGTGACTGTCTGACATTGAAGATGAGAAATGGAATCAAATCGTTCGTTCAAGCAAAGAATGATAGAGAGTGACTTGCAAGCTTCACTCAACTTTTCTCTATAAGTCGTAATGTAATCCTTTGCTTCAGTGATGTTCATTTCTTCCACTATGCTACGAAGCAGTTCAATGTCAGTCAATGAACACTCATCTTTAACATGACGAAGGATGCTATAAATGTCTGAGCATTTGTTCACTTTTTCACCAAGGGAGCTACTATAATAAAACAGGAATTCTTTGATGTCTTCAACTGCCGATTTCCTTTCCAAAATCTTACGGACATTATAAAAGAGGCTCACAAATGACATCTTTATGGAACTAAAATTAGAAAGCAAGTCTTTTGTAACTGGTATATGTACTTCACCTACAAAACATGTCATCATTATTATCATTATTGCCATTATTTCTAAAATTATACCTTGAGGTGATAAAGGTTGTGAAGATGAATTACTAGCAACTGATACATCACACGGAGATGTGTCTAAAAATAAAAAATAAATCATGAATCAATAATTATTACTATAGACGTTTACCAGATTGTGTTGTACTGGTTTCATCAGCAGTACTTGCTATAAATATTAATTAATTTATTATAAATTAGTTAATTAATAATAATTACACATGTACCTTGTGGAGCTATATCATGATCTTTAATAGTCTCAGGATCCACGCCCACTTCAGGAGTAGGAAAATACTTACCTAAACACATAATAATAAAACAAAGATAATATTGAACAGTAATTTCTACACTTTGATTCATAACTAACCCACCCACAGGAAACTATGAACTATGAATATAATTAGAGTGGCCAGCAATTACTCACTAATATCATCCAGTATAGTTTGTCCCAGTGATACATTAGTACTGATTGTACACAATACATTAGCAAATGTATGTAAACTGTTGGGATCAGTTTGAACAGCTTCTTTGACAGCAGCTAATAGAGCCTCACGTTGATTAGTAAAGGAACTAGCCGAGACAGCTCTAACTGCTTCTTGTGTTAACATACGTTCATCAAAAAGAGACCAAGCAATACGAATGGAATCACAAAGAGACTGAGACAGGACAGTATGACGATTATTAAAAATATTAATAAGAACCTGATGTTCTATGATAGAAAATACAATGATTATAGTTACATACAGTTATGGTTGACTCACTTAACTTCTCAGCTACAGCAGTTTCATTCATAGATCCTAGAGCATCTGACAGTGAGTCCAAGTTGGCTCCTCCTCTACTGGCAACATTATCAGCTCTACGTAGCCATTGGGAGAGGCACTCTGTCAAGCATTGATTCACATCACCATGCTGCTCTGTTTTAATGGCTTCCAGTGTATCTTTCAGTAGACCTAGTCTCAGTCCCAGCTCTTGCCACTTGATTCTCTGAAAGCTACATTTCTTCAACAAGTCAAGAACATCAATCAAGTCTCTGATATCTATCAATAAAAATCAAAATATAATCTAACACCACATGACTACCTAAACAAGTTTGATTAGTGGCCATAGTTCCATTAAAAGAAGCCTACAAGCACAACCTTCTCTATTTACTTCTAGGGTGGGGTCAAAAAAGGTGTGGTCATGTAGTTATAAAAAGGTGGGGCTGGGTCTGCATGCAACAAAATAGATCTCAGAGTAATCATCATCAATTATATTTTTAGATCAATCATCAATAGCGACCATTAGTACAATAGTATGGTAGCAGATACTTATTACAAATCAGTTCCCTGGCCATGTAGAGATAATGACTAATCTGCAGTTGAAAGGATTTTACATACACAGCATCATGAGCTAACATCTTGACCTCTTCAAACACATTGTGAAGATCAACCTGACAATAATAACAAATTAACAAGAAAACTTTCATCTTAGAACATGTAGCTAAGAATAAACATACCACAAAATGACACTTTCAGTTATGTTGTATGGCTTCTTGGATATACTTGCATAAATTAAATTCAGTACTTATAAACACTGTAGGAATTAAATGTTGAAATATTTTTTTTGGAAAAAAGTTACATTTATTGTAAAAATCTGCATAAAACATGTGCAACAATCTAAAATTTTTTAGCAAATTTTTTTATGTCACCCACGCACTTGAGTTTACAGTACTTTCCATGTGTTGGCATGTGGTCAGTTTGGATTGCCAGACCTTTTAGCAACTTTAAAAATTCGTAAAAATCCAAACTTGGAATCAGCTCAAACTTTCTACACAGCATAAAAGCATGTATATCAGGGAAAATTATAAAAATTAAGAATTCTCTACTTTTCATTTTTGGTGAAATTTGGCCAAAATCCCTGTATAGTACAGGGACTTTGACCCGATTTTGGAGCTACTTTAAAGATTCATAGAAATGTATGTGTATCAGAAAAAATTATAAAAATGAAGAATGCTTTGCTTTTATTTTTTGGCAAAAAATCCCTGTACAGGGACTTTGGCCTGATCAAGCTTCATTATACACACGTGGGACCACACCCAATTTAATTTCACAAGTATTTAGTATAGCACCCTTATAATGACATGCAAGCTATGTTCACAGTTTAACTGATTGAATAGCAGTGTGGTGTTTCATGAGATAAATATTATCAATGAGTATGTTACTGATACATTTGATGATATTTTACACAAAGTAGCTAGTAATTGGCAAATGTATGTTGCCACATATGTGTGTCACATTAACCTTCTTTTGTGAACTTATCTCTTGTTTTGACTCCTTCTCTATCACCTTGTGTCTAATGGCTATATGTGAATTTTATCTCTCACTGTCCACTTTCATTCTTCTTTTCTAACTAAATTGTAGCTGTATTTGCAAGGACAAAGTAGATTGAAGAAAAGACGTTGCATATTTTGTCAAGCAAAATGAAAGCAATGTGTGTATTAAATGTACCGGTATGTATAATCCATTTTGTAGATTTATCCAAGTCCTTTATATGATATCTGCTTTATAATGGCCACAAGAGAAAGGAACAGTTTCATCTGTGTCAGTTAAAATTCTTATAAGTTGAAAATTAATTTCTTGGATTGGCACCTTTTGAAAAATTTGACCCTTTCCTTTGATGTCACCACTAGTGTCTGTCATATGATCATTGTTTCATGATGACCTCTCCCTGGACTGTCTTTCATGGAGAGACTGCTCCAGATGTCAATGAGTGGAGTGTTCTTTAGCACTTGTCAGATACACCATGTGACTATGGACTGTATATGAGGGGATTTTTAAGATGGACTATACTGTGCTCTGCATGCAAGGGCTTGTCTGTCACTATTGGTTGCTGTAATGCAGGCTTTTTAATGACCTGAGTATACATGTGTATGTATTTATAAGTTTAAACAGGATATCATGTTGTGTATGATAAAACGGAACAATCGCAGAAGCAAGACATTAAATTTTTCGAAACTTTCTCTTTGTTTTAATTTTTATGATAATCGATGCACTATTTTGTTTCTCAACAATAATGTTACAGAAACAGTTTATGAGTTCTCCTACACTTGATATATTTTTGCAATTGTACTCAGCCACACCTATCCACTCCATTTCTTCTCACTGGAAAATGTTCATCATTGTTTTTTGTCGAGTATTTCAATGACATTTATCTTTAAAGGATTATTACCAGTCCTTGGCAATCCCGACGGAAAAGCCTTAATGGTCGGTCAGGCGCTAATTTGCACTTATTCTTTCATCCGATACCCAGCGCGAGAGACTATAAGGGGAGACTGCTTCCAAATGATTCAGTCCTGTTTTAGTGTAGCTGGCATACACTAATAGAGATCAGAGCAGTCTCCCACACCTCTGTCTTCTTTACAATTCCTGTAAATTGCCCCTGGCCTGTACGTCTTTACAATGGAAGAAGAGAGCAACCCGTCGCCACAAGAGGCAGAAAACATCTCTACGATCATAGGCGACGGTCTCTCGGCTCTAAATGGAGCGAGGGCTGTAGAGAGAGGAGAGGAGTCCAATCCAGATGAAGAGAACATGTCCCTTGCTGTCCCTCCATCCAGCTCCACCCATGACGAGCAGACTGCCCTTGGTTCTGCTACAGCCATTACCACTGTCCCTAGCCCTCAGCAGCAACAACAGCTCGTTACTGTTACAAAGCAAGAGCCCCAGGATACACTGCCTGTGACACTCAGCCCAGTCCCTATTGCTAATACACAGCTAGTCTCTGATATGAACCCACCACCAGCAACTTCAACTCCTACAAACCAACAGCAGCAGAGGACCATTGCTAATCTTCCTCCCAGCATACCAGCAGGGAAGATCACCAACTATTGTCCAAAGCACCCACATATTGAAGTAACGCTGGACGGCAAAGAATTGTGGGATGAGTTCTTTCGTAGAGGTACCGAGATGATTGTTAATCGTGCAGGAAGGTAAAGGATGCATGCTGCATACCTTATTCATTTACTAGAGCAGACTATGTTATGTATTGTTTCCTTTTCTTACAGACGCATGTTCCCTGGGTTTTCAATCAGCATTAGTGGCCTCAAGCCTAAATCAAAGTACACAATGAAGTTGGACATTGTGCTAGCTGACACTCACAGATTCAAATTTCTCAACGCCAGGTATGCAGTTACATTCAGACATTTTGCAGCATGCTTGATCACATACCTCCTTATGTCCAATAGATGGTTACCAGTAGGCAGTGCTGAACCTCAGTCTCAATATGAGACCTACATACACCCTGACTCTCCTAATACTGGGACGTTTTGGATGAGGCATGGGGTCTCCTTTAGGAAGCTAAAGATCACCAACAACAAAGATAGGCCTGGTTCTAATGTGAGTGCAATGGTAATGAAGCATCTTTTTAAAATTGTGTAATTATGTTTTATAACTTAGGCACTCTTGCACTCTATGCATAAGTACTTCCTTCGCTTGTATATTGAAGAGGAGAAGAAGGTACCTAGTCAATCAGGGGAAAAAGGAGAAAAAGGTGGAGACAAAGAGAGAGGAGGAGGAGAGGAGAAGTCTCGTCCAACTCACCAACAAACGATAGCACGGCCAATTTTATCTATTGAGTTTCCAGAGACAACATTCATTGCCGTCACTGCGTATCAAAATGAAGAGGTTAGTCTTGTCTGTGTAGTCAATTTTTAGGTTTTGTTAGGTCACGCAGCTCAAGATCACAAATAATCCATTTGCAAAGGCATTCCGGGAAAATGCCGCAGACATGTGAGTCATTAATAAGTTTTGATTGTCCAATTAAGCCGTGATCGGCTCTCTTCCTCCAGGGACTGGGAAACAGCTCAAGCTTTGTATGGCAACTCTTCAACTTATCTTAGTCCTGGGACTACAATGACCCATGCAGGTGAATGATGTAGACATTTATAAATTAAATGTATCATTGTACAATGTAACCCATTCTAGCTGTACAGGGTTTAGTCTTGTGTTGCAATGCTTTAGGCATTTCTTGTTATTGTTTTCAGAATGTGAAGTTGTGTTGTTGTGACTCGTGGTTCCTTTCCTTTGCTATGCATTAATGAAACACCTAATGTGTCACATGTCACACATTCTCTTTGTATGTTCTCCTTTAGGTAGCTACAACTACCTCATGTCACCTTCTCCATCTCCCTGGGCCATTCACTCTCCGATGCTCTCCCCTCACTCCATGCCTCCATCATTCCATTCAATTGGGACCCCTCAAGCCCACTCGTTGTCAGGGACCTCGCATTATTCACCAGAGTCTCAGTTCCGGCATCCTCTCCCACCTACTCCCCAAGCAGATGCTAGTTTTTTTCAATGGCCGCAGCCACAGCAGCAAAGGAGCAGTGAAGTCTTGCATTCTCCATACCTCCCTCCACCTTTAGTATCAACTTACCCTCACACTCCAACTCCTCTTCAACACAGCATCATTGAGACTTCACCTTCTGGTGATACTCTCACTTTGCCTGATTTTGGGAGCACTTTTGCAACAGTTCCAACTGTGACCACAAACCATTGAAGATAAGGCGAGGAGAAGCAGCAAAACTTTTGAACTAAAACATAAACTCTATTCTACTGACAATCAATGCACTTTTCTGCATTCACTAAAGATAATTTTAAAATAAAGTATATTTCATTTTTGGCATGAAAATGGTGTGTTTATAGAATGAGGCAAAATAACTTCACCTCACAGTGATAGTAATGTAATGTATGGCCTGTTTAAGAGTAATTCAATGTGCAAAGTTCAAAGTCCAATTTTTGATTATAATCACCTCAATTTCCACAAAATATAGAGCATGATAATGTAATTAAAAATTAAGAATTCTTTCCTTTTCATTTTTGATGAAATCTGACCATTACAGGGACTTTGAGCCGATTTTGGAGCAACTTCAAAAATTCATAAAAAAATTCAAACTTGATCGGAATCAACCCAAATTTTTTACACAACATAAAAACATGTATATGTATCAGAAAAAATTATAAAAACGAAATATTTTCTACTTTTAATTTTTGGTACAATTTGGCCGAAATCCCTGTACTATAGTACAGGGACTTTGAGCCGATTTTGAAACAACTTCAAAAATTTGTAAAAAATTTAAACTTGATTGGAATCAACCCAAATTTTTCACACAACATAAAAACATGTATACGTATCAGAAAAAAATTATAAAAATGAAAAATTTTCAACTTTTAATCTTTGGCAAAATTTGGCCAAAATCCCTGTGCTATAGTACAGGGACTTTTGGGCCAACTTGCATACATGAATAGTGCATTGGTTCAGATTTTCACATGTCACATCATGTCTACTTTTAAAATCTAATAATAATAAATATAATCTCGTGTGTGTGGATAATGTAATGTAATTAAGATTGAGGTGCTGACACAACTAGTTCAATGGTTGGCCTGTCACTGTCATAATTCTCATTCAAAAGATTATCTGCATCTTCACACGGAACTCCACGCAAATCATCACCATCAACTTTGATTATTATAAAACCAGGCTGTGTAAAGGAAAGAGAAGAAGGGATACAAATAATGCAAGTATGAATGTTGTACCATATTACATTCACTTTATAATACACTCACTTGTAAGAATCCATCATTAAAGGCAGCTCCATCTTCTACCACTTCAGAGATAACAATATTACCAGACTTGTCTTTTTTTACTTCCAAGCCTGCAATATAAACGCACAAATTAACACAATTTTGATTGATAAACCTCACCTAAAAAGAAAGCAGTTTTCTGTATATCAATGAGGATTGGTTTCCCTGGACTCTCAATATTTCCGGAGAGAGGATCAGGATCAGGAGGAGCAGGTGCAGGTGGCAGCTTTTTAACCTCTTTATTGTCTTCTTGTTTCTTTGCCTCTTCATCTTCTTTGACTCTATTAGTAGCAGCGGCTGCTGGATAGTTCTCATTCCATGCCAAAAATGATTCTCTTGACTGTAAAACTGAGTCCCTATAGGATAGAACAATGATGAATACAATACAATATTACACAGTGTGAAAGTATAGATATATTTGTTGGATTGTACCTTTGCAATTCCTTTGCTTTATTCAGTACTTCTTTAGCAGCTGGATTACCAAAAGCACCTTCAACCTCAAGCTCTCCATCTTCCTTTATAGTTTCAATCTTCTTTAGGCCTGATACTCCATTATGATCTGAACAATGATTAATAATTATAATGTGTAATGTCTCTAACTTTTTAAGTCGCTTATAACAGATTGGTAAGGTTGAGTCTTAGCCTCGTCAGTTGAAGGAGGTACGTCAGTTACTGGAGGAGGAGGAGGAGGGGAAGGAGGAGATAGAGGGAGAGGTTCTGGCTCAGGCTCTGGCTCAACTATAACAAATAATCTTTCACTGATGATGCACACGTACATTAATAAATACCTTCAACTGTAATGACTTGACGAGAAGAAGGGGGAGGAGGAGGAGGAGGAGAAGGGCTAGGAGCAACTACAAAAGATACTTTAAATTTTCAAAATAAAGTAAATCATATTTTACCATTTGTCTGAGTAGAGGGAGTAGGTGGGTGAGTGCTAGGTTGTATGGAAATTGGCATCAATATGTCTTCTTCATCTTCCTTGCCGCTACGCTTCTTCTTATTCATGGCAGCTGCTTCATGTGGAGACACAAGCTTATCAAACTTTGCTATATCTTGAGGTTTCAATAGCGGCCTAAAATATAACAAAATTAAAATAATTATAATTGATAATGTTACCTGACGTCATTGAGTAGCTCCAGTTTAGCAGGAGTATCAAGTATTACCACAAGAAATTGAACTAGATTCTTTAATTTACCACCTTCCTCATACTACATATAGATATACACAGATATATGTGTACATCATATTAACTAATCTTAATTAACATACATCACTTAGTTTCCTCTTTAATGCAGCAACTTCATCTTCATTTAATAATTTACGAGCTGAATCCAGCAGCTGCTCACTAACTGGACTGAATACTGTAGACGCTAACATAACTTGAGTACCTACCCCATACTCAAACCTGCAGGAACAGTGACACTCAAAGAGAACCAGTTAAATGTAGCTGTCCTTACTTTGGGCCTGAATTAGGATCATCTGGTGATATCTCAGATTCACTTGTTTGATGGTGAAGAGGCTGGTGTGAGTTTTCTGATGTTGCTGGAGTTGAAGTTGCCAAAGGAGAGATGGGTGATCTGCCATAGTCACCTGCATCTAAATGATGTAAGTATACAGCATGTCAAGTGTTGCTAATACTCCATTAAATTGTACTTGAAGATGATCTTGCTCTTCTAACAAATTTAGGTGATTCTGTGAGTCTGTCTTTAAAGTCTGACGGAGAACCATCAGTTTTGTGAAGTTTAGTACGTGGAAGACTATTGTAACCGTCAACCCCTAGAAATGAGCTAATAATGAATAACACCTAAGCACAGGATTGAATATACTTCTAATATTCTCCTTAGACTCCCTGTCCTTCTTAGATACAAGTTTAGGGATTCGTCCAACCGACTAATGGTAAAGGAAAAGATTGTATTTAATAGATAGAGTGTGTGATTTTACTTTGACGGTCATGATCAGTAGTTGGTTGTTCTTCAATATTGAGGCAGCCTCATTATGAAGAATATTCCGGAAACTAGTATTGTTAACAGTCAGTATCTGATCACCAACCTGCAGGCCATGTTCTTCACAAACTGATCCAGGATCAACCCTGTCATCAATAAATATTGAAACAGCAATGTTGAGTAATAATGTCAGCCTTACTCCACAACAAATATCCCAAGCTTGAATTCTTGTCCTCCTCTTATTTTGAGACCAAAAGGTCGTCCATGCTCTTTCCTAACTACCACCTTTCTCTTGTCAGCAGACGAGAGCAAGTGATCATCAAACTGCTCCACCTACAGACACGAGTACACAAGTATAATATAAGTATGTCATTGATATTTGATATTGTGCTGGTGAGTGATCTCAACTTACATCATCATTATCAACAATCCCGTTCTCTTTGACTGGCCTTCCTTGTGGGTCCACCCTTTTATACAAAAAGAATAAGTTTCATTAGACCATACACTGTACTTCCTTACCATGTGAATGCCTCAGATGTAGGACTATCAAACTGGGGTAGCCTGCCCATACTCCACAGAATGATTCTGAACTTGTCGAATGCCTTGATAACTGTAACAGCTGATTCATGTGATATCCATTCAAAATTGATCCCATTAACTTCGCTGATTTGATCTCCAATTTGAATACCAGCTGCTTCTGCCGCTGATCCTATCTCAACGTGAGATATGAAAATCCCCAGCCCCATCTCCTTCCCGCCTCTAATACTGAAACCCAGTGGTCTCCTTCTAAATCTCTCTATCAACACTTCTTTTGTTTGTCTTCTTCTTGAGCTCTTGTGGTGAAACATTGGATGTGCCATCTTCTTATAAGGAGCAATGGAGTCGTATTCTTTATGGTCACTCTTAGGAATTAGATCTCTGATGGTCATTAAAAGGTCCAGTTTCTCAGGCGTGTCAAGGCAGGAGAGAAGAGCTTTCATTAAAATTGAGACATTGCGATAGCTCGTGTATTCTTTCAAGGCATACTGAATGTACTCCTTTTCCGACTTGTCCAATAGGTAGTTGGCATCTTGACGGAACTCTTGTACTCTAATATTCTTCTCTAGTTCTTTCTGGTAGGCCATTCCTCCCTCTGCTTTGATTTGCAGCCTATTATTGGGTGGGGCTGGTAATGGAGCTAGATAGATCACGTGATCAGATCCACCCATTCTTTTCCAGTAACCTGAAGTATTTAGTCTTTCTCCTATGTATCTGTACAAAATCAAAAATTATCGATTCATCTGATTACTAGCATCTTGCTCTTTGGAAAAAGATTATTAGATAAATAACACCTGGTTTATTAATGGTTGCTAAGTAGATACTCTTCTTGCCTTGTGTAAGCAATGTCTTATTCAGTAGTGACGATATATGATATGGTATTTAATCAATAAAAGGTATATATAATTTAGTCATATAGTTCTTAAAATCACTCTACTGTCACACTTTTTGCCAAATGTCGTGGACAATCAACCTGAATAAAAAACAATGAAACCTTCTTCAAAAAATAAACACTAAATCTTACATCATGTCCTCCCATCACTGCAATGTGGAATGACAACAGCTGGAGCGGTATCACTGTTAGTATTCCTTGAAGACAGTCGACAATATGAGGCATCTGTACAGTACGAGTTACTCTACTAAGAATCTCTTCATCACCTTCTTCACATATCACCACTGGTCGACCCTTTATTTACAAAAAATAGCAAAAATATTATTATTATTGTGTAAAATTAAAGCACTATATACAGAATAAATATTAACTTACTGAACGAGCAGAAACTTGTTCAAAAGCATTGATACATTTCTATAGGAGAAATAAAACAATTAAAACAATAACTTGTAAGGAAAGAAGAGGAATTAATAGAAATTAAAAGAGAGAGAGAGATAGATAGAGTGGTTACTTTGTACACATTGTCTTTGGTGATGATCATAATAACTGGCATCTTATCATCAATGAGTGCCAATGGTCCGTGCTTTATCTCACCACTTAATATACCCTCTGAATGCAGATAAGCAACTTCTTTAATTTTCTATTTAAAAATTAATAATTAGTTTAGCCACACCTACAATGCATGTCTTACCAGTGCTCCTTCAAGGCAGGTAGCGTAATTGAAGCCCCGCCCCATTACTATGATACTCTTGTGGTGATGAAGCTCTTTTGCTAGTTCTCTTATCTTTTCATTCTGCCCAAGTACTTTCTTGATCAAATCTAAAAAGATAAAACGATAATAAACAAGAGCAAAAAATACATGTACATGTACATATATATACATGTACATCCCATAAAATTATTGATGATTACCTGGTAAAACTTTAAGTCCATCAATGATCTGTCTTCTTCTTGGTTGCTTGCTGACTCTGTCTTCACTCATCACTAAACCAAACATGACCAGAGCCACAAACTGACTAGTATATGCCTAATAATAATAATAATAATAATAATAATAATAATAATAATAATGAAGATATTATATATTAAGAACAGTTTGACAGGTAACATAACATGTATATGCATCAGTAAATGTAATAAAAATCGGGAATTTTCTCCTAGCCATTTTGAAAAAAAATTTTGAGCAACTTTAAAAAATTTGTAAAAAATCCAAACTTGATCAGAATCAGCTCTAACTTTCTACACAACATAAGAACATGTATATGCATCAGAAAATGCAATAAAAATCGGGAATTCCCTACTTTTCATTTTTGGCAAAATTTGGCCAAAATCCCTGTACTATAGTACAGGGACTCTGTTCCGATTTTTGAGCAACTTTAAAAAATTTGCAAAAAATTCAAACTTGATCGGAATCAGCTCTAACTTCTACACAACATAAGAACATGTATATGCATCAGAAAATGCAATAAAAATCGGGAATTCCCTACTTTTCATTTTTGATGAAATTTGGCCAAAATCCCTGTACTATAGTACAGGGACTTTGGCCCGATTTTGGAGTAACTTAAAAAATTCGTAAAAAATCTGATCTTGATCGAAATCAGCTAAAACTTTCTACACAACATAACATGTATATGCATCAGGAAAAAATATAAAAATTAAGAATTCTCAACTTTTCATTTTTGGTAAAATTTGGCCAAAATCCCTGTACTACAGTACAGGGGCTTTGGCCTGATTTTGGAGCAACTTTTGTATCAGAAAATGCAACAACGATTCTCTTCTAGTTTCTCTCTCCTACCTTAGTGCTAGCTACTCCAATCTCAGGTCCAGCATTAACATGAACTCCGCAGTGAGTCTCCCTACTGATAGAACTACCAACAGTATTAGTGATACCAACGGTTAGTGCACCACGCTGCTTGCAATATCTCAATGCATTCAATGTATCAGCAGTCTCACCTAATAAAAGAATATGAGATATAATATATATGTTTAAGGAGAAATTATTGTACCAGATTGTGAGATAAAGAAGACTACATCATCACGAAATATTGGTGTACTACGATCAAGAAAATCAGAAGCTAATTCTACCACAACAGGTAGCTCTGTTAGCTCCTCAAGAAGCTGCCTAGTCTAAAGGGAAGGAGACATGAAATTATAAAAAAGGAAAAATGACAAAAAACATAAAGAATCAATTTTAAAATATGTACATGTACATGTATGCAAATTAATTTATAATATATTAATAAGGTTGTAGTTATTAATATTAATAAGGTTGCAGTTATTAACTAACAGCGAGGGCACTGTGGTAACTGGTACCACAAGCAATGAATATGATCCTCCGTGAGCGCCTTATCATTGGAATGTGATCCTTTAATCCACCCAACACAACTGTATAAAATAAAATAAAATAAAAATAATAATAATAATAATAATAATGTACCTTTATATTCATCAAAGAGTATTCTTCCTCTCATTGTGTTAACGACACTCTCCGGCTGCTCAAAGATCTCCTTTTGCATGAAATAATCAAAAGACCCTAAACCAAAGGAAGAAACTATAAGAACCAAAAGTACATCGAATGTAGAGTACCTTTCATTATCTCTTGAAGCTGCATCTTGATAGTGTGCAACTCTCTCTCAGCTGCTACAGCCTTGCTCTTACGAATGTGATGGATTGATAGAGCTACAGTAGGAGAGAGAGAGAGAGAGAAGTGAAAATGAAAAAGAACATAAAACTCACATCCATTCTTCTTGACAGCTGCTACGTCATCATCTTCAAGGAATATCACCTTATTAGTGTGTTCAATGACAGCACTAGGAGGGGGAGGGTACATAGCAACAGTAGTCATGACAACAGGCCACACCTACCTTGCATCCGATGCAAAGAAGTACTCAATCTGTCTGTTCTCTTCAGACGGATTGAAGGTGGAAAAACTGTTAGCTCTTTGAAAGTCAGGAGCAATATAGGAACTGGAATCTATGGAGGGAGAGAGAGAGAGAGAGAAAGGGAGAAGGGAGAGAAAAAAAGAGACAGGAAGTGCTATTATATTATAATGATATTCATTGACCAGTCAAGGTGAGTCCCACTATGCTATGATGAAGTTTCATCAGTTTAAAAAGAGCTACAGTGCCACAGACTGCAACACAAGTAACTCTGTGGGACATGTAACATCCATCTTCCAAACAATTTTTGAAAGGCCTCAATCAGCCTTGATCATTAGGTGGTATTGAGGTCTGACAGCAACATAACAATAAATAATAATAACAATAAATAATAATAATAATAATAATAAATAATAATAATAATAAGTGATACAGGATAAACATAATAAACAAACCTGGTACTCCTCCATTAGCAAAGACACAGGTAGGTATATCATCAGTCACTATACTAGTATCACTGAATATACCAATCAATAGTGGACTACCACGCCTACAATGAAGACATCATGTCACATGTAGAGTTGGTTACAGTTTATGGGTAAACAAACATTAGGCCATTAGCTACTGTTAGTATGATGTCATGTGACTGGTGTCCTTACCTTGTGGCTACTATCTCTCCTGGATAATGTATGCTCTTGCACACAATGGCAAATGCTCCTTCCTAAGAATTAAAATTAATAATAAAATACACCAGTACAGTTGCATGCAGTGAAAATAGTGTACATGTACATGTACATATACATGTCCTTATGCTATGTATATATAAGTTTGAACCACAATTTGTCTACAGAACTATCCTTTAGTTTATACAATATAGTGACTGAGTTTATCAACTAACACTCATTACTGGAGACTAAGAGAAAGGGAGGGAGAGTGTGTCACTCACCAGCTGCTGTATAACTTGCTCCATTAGTTCTTGAAGGGTTGGCTCTTCTTCATCAGTTGATTGTGAATGATATAAATAATTGAGCAGTTTTGGTATAACCTCTGTATCTGTGTCACTCTCAAATACATAATCACGACTTTCCTAGAAATCATAAAAACACACAATAATATTTAATACATGATGTACATGTACATTACAACACAATGGGTATTAATGGTAGTAGTACTACTGGCAGTGATAAAAGGTGCTATGGACTATCTGTACAGGGTACATGAGGAAATTTGATAGGTCCATACTGTAGGTGGTTGGTATAGTTCTGGTAACAATAGAATGGGTTGATAATTAACACATTCACTCAATCAGTCTGGCCCTCTTTTAGTCAGTGCTATAGAGAAGGTTAGAGAAGGTTTGTGGGTTTGGCAATGGACACTAATTAGTTCTTTTATTACAAGTGTCTCTTGAATTCTTCAAAATTCACTACAGCCTCTTTTATTCACTTATAAACTTACCAAGAACTTCTTGATGTCCTTATAATTGGTAATGATACCATTATGAACAACCACAAACTCTACAAGGAAAACAATAAAATAAAAAATAATTATAATATAGAAGGAGAGAGAGCAAAAGTAAAATGGTCTACCATTTTTTGAGTTGGATCGTTGTGGGTGTGAATTCACTTCATTAGGTACCCCATGTGTTGCCCACCTCGTGTGAGCTATTCCAACGTGAGTATCAAGGACTGAGTCCCAGTCAATGTCCTCACGTCCAAAGACCTCGTCATTTAAAGAACTGACCTTACCCTTCTTCCTGATGACTCTATCAAGAGAAGAGAAAAACAAGAGAGAGAGAGAGAGTGAGGACAATGAAAAGGTTTGTCATATCATTGTTATTTTATGAAAAAGAGAGACAAATGGATGTACAGGTGCATATAAACCAGCTTCATTTACTGTGTGAGCTCTTCTCCTTCTTTCAAATCATCAAACGCCACACCAGCGGAGTCATAACCTCGGTACTCGAGTCTTTGGAGTCCTTGCAATAGTATCTGTAGTATCCTGTGTCTGGTACGCGGGACCAGGTGATTCAGATAACCAAATATGCCTAAGGAGGATATATTGAATTAGTCGGCTATACCTGAAAGAGAAGAGAAAACATAGTGGACTTACCACACATCACTTTCACCAGTTTCTTGAAGTTAAGGGTAATTAATAAAAGCCAAAACCACGCCCAAATTAGGTCAATTTTCCCGCCAAAGCGCGCCATTAAGCTATTGTCAGGATTACTGAAATATACGGAACAGGGACCCCATAAAAGTAGGAGTAGGAGTTTGCTAGATAAAAGTAGGAGTAGAAGTAGGAGTTACACAACTTTTTTTAAATGCGTGGGTGGATATACCACCACACATTTAAAAAAAGTGGTAAGTCAGCACTTTTTTAATAAAAAAAGTGGTGACTTACCACTTTATTTTTATTTTTATTTTTTTTAGTGGTAAGTGGGTGGTAAGTCAGCCGCCCACGCACTAAACAAAATCAGGAGCAGAGTGGAATACGTAGTGTGTAGTTGTTATGATCATAACTAGTCTAAGATATTAAATTTTTTGTGATTTTCATTGTGCATTTATATATTTTTCTTCATGAGAGCAACTTAAACAAAAACTTTTAAAATAATAGTAACTAAAATAAATCAAATTTAAGTTACAGCTAATTTTACTTACGATGCTATAGCAATGATTAATTAATCAACACAAGTGCAGCAGCTTCATGTAGATCCAAACAAATCATTGATTATTACTGTAAAAATTGTATTGGAGACACCATACAACACAAATGTCTATGCATGCCCAAAAAATTTTAACAACATTGGTTTTTTTTACTGAAATTAAATATAAAAATTATTTCCTCGTGTAAAAATTAGCATTTTTTGGTATAAGGTAAATGATGCGTTATGTATCATTATTATTTTGACTATTAAGTTATCATTTTCTAACTTGTGCAGTTGTTTCTGAAATAATTGTGAGTTTAATCTTAGTATCTGTAGATACAGCCATAGATATTACAGCTAAGTATTAAAGTCAGTACTCCACGGTATCAAATTTGTAGCCGGGCCGAGTTCAATTCTTTTTAAATGTTGCCTATTAGCATTGTTAATTTGTCTCTGCATTATGTTTTATACTGTTTGCATTTAAATATGACATTTAAAAAAGACAAAATCAAGTTAAAATAAAGGTAGCTATAGCTACGACTTCATCCTTTCCAAAATAATTAAAATAGAGCTAGTGAAGTGCACTCAGTGAGATGGTGTAAATTTGCAATGGCAATAGCAGTGGATAAATTTACTCCATTATTAGAATTTCCATACTGAGTACATCTTTCATAACACTTTTTAAGTGTGCTAAATTGTCACATAATTATTTCTTTAATTTTTGTAGGTCAACCATCAATATATCTTAACTATAACTTTTTAATAATTCATGCATTGTTGTACATGTACTAGCTATGTTAGTACTGTTAGTCTATAATGTGCAAGAACTTAACCAACACAATATCATAGAAAAAATTATCAAGCAAGAAAAAGGATGGACATGCAAAAGAGAGTCAAAGTGAGAGAAAGAGAGAATGCACTAAATATGATAAAAGCTAGATGGACGGTAAAGCACAGATCTATAAATACTTGACCAGAATAATCTAATCATAATAAAAATAGTAACAATGGTAACAATAGATCAAATACTTAATCAGAAGGTTATGGTTAATGTATCAGTATAATGAGACTACCATTAAGGCCACTCCAATTTGATTCCTTGTTTCCCATTACCCGCCCGCATGGGGCCGCATCGCTATTCATTATTGCGGTTTTTCATTGATTATACAAGCAATTTATACAGCTGATAATGAATAAATTTAATGAAAATGAACAAACCCGCCGCGCCCGCCCGCATCAGGCCCGCCTCTGTAATGGGAAACTATGAATCTTATTGGAGTGGCCTAATAAAGACTGCAAAGTGTTTACCTATACATTATTCCTGTGTACTCAATGAAAAAAAAGTAGCCCTCCAATTTATAAAACAAACTAAATTAACTCACCAAACTAACTCAAATTTATTGTTAAAATCATTTAAATTGCCTATAAATGTCTTTACCTTCAAAAAATAAAGTAGCTGCACCTACTTTTTAATCATATCATGGCTGCATGGGCGGATGACTCTTACCCACCCACGCATTTACTTCTAAAGGCCTCCATACACTAGGCAACTTGTTGCTAGCAACCAAGCAACATGTTGCCAAAAATAGAACATCTTTCTATTTCTGGCAACATGTTGCTTACAAGATCAAAGTAACCACAAATGTTGCTAGCAACATGTTGCCTCGTGTATGAAGGCCTTAACTCCTACTCCTACTTTTATGATTTTATCTAGCAAACTCCTACTCCTACTCCTACTCCTACTTTTATCTAGCAAACTCCTACTCCTACTCCTACTCCTACTCCTACTCCTACTTTTATCGGGTCCTACGGAGGGAACATACTGCACAAAGTTCAAAGCTGCGAGATGGAGCCATTCAACACTCTCTACTTTTATTACCTGCTGGT